TAATGTGTACATTTAGTTTCATTCCCCATTTACCATGTCCAATCCTAACCCAGTCTCCTCCCCTCCCTACCCTGTAACCCTCCCCCTGTGCCCCCTAATATTCATGCACTCCTGTTTGTCCTGCATTTCCTCAATTTCAATGTTGGTCCTCTGGTGTCCCAAGGTCTATTGCTCTAAGGGATGTATTACCATAGAACATGTGGGTACGTCATTCTGGGTTGAGTGGTTTTCATGTACATCTTGTTAACTATTGCCTGAGAGCCAGCCCCTGGGGGTGCATTTTATTCCAGGTGCAGAATGTATTCCAGGGCCATAGTATTGGGAGTCTTGCCAGATTTCATCTGACCAGTAATTCTGGTCATTATTGAGTTTATACTCAAGTTTTAAATGAGAGAAATTGATAATATGATGTACGTCTAACAACTTTTTAACAAAGATTTTGTCATACCTCTGTAAACAACAGTGAAAAACTAGAAACAAACTAAATCTCTAACAACAGAGGGAAAATTACATAAATTACATTATTTACACATAGGATACTATTAGGCAGAAACTCAAAACTTTCTCAAAGTATTTAATGGCATAGAGAATTTTTCATAATTTAACACTAATCAGGGAAAAAAGTAGAATCCCATATTGTACATATAACTCCAATTTTAAAATATAATAAACAAGTATATTGGGAAATGAGGAAAAAATAAAGATCAACACTTTTTTGAAAATTCCAAATAAGAGATCCTCTATTATATCACACATTTCAAATCAATATGTGTGTATGCACATTTTTTTAAAATTGTTTTCATTTTATTGTGGTGAAAACATACACATCAAGACATTCATCAACATAACAACTTTCACATTTACAGCTCAGGGACACTGATGACATTTTTCATGCTGTGCCACCATCATTGCAATCATATTCCAAAATATTCTACCATCATTAACATAAACTCAATGCCACCCAAACAAAAGCTTCCCCTTCCCCCTCCCTCCTACCCGTGGTGTTGCTGCTGTTATGTGCCACAGAGTCGGACCCGAATCATAGCGACCCCTCCTTGGGTTTCTGAGGCGGTATCACTACGGAAGTAGATTGTTCAACCTTCCTTCCAAGGAGTGGCTAGCGGGTTTGAACCGCTAGCCACCTGGCTAGCAGTCAACTGCGCTAGGCACTACGCTACCAGAGCTCCCCCTACCTACCCTGTTAGCCACTAATAATCCTCAGTTTAAATGTATGTGTGTGTGAGTTTATCTCTCTATATATATTGCTGTTGCTGTTGTTTTTACCTATCTATCAATTTTCCCTCCCCTCCCCACCCATCCCTGTTAACCAACAAAGAAAGTTTCCTTCCATATATAAACCTTTCCTTCACTTTTAACAATAGTGGACTAACACAGTATTTTTCCTTCTATGATTGACTTATTTCACACAGCATAATGGTCTCCAACTTCATCCACGTTATGTGGTGTTTTGCAGGTTCTGCATTATTCTGTAGTGTTGCATACTATTCCACCGTGTGTATGTACCATAGTTTGGTTATCCATTCCTCTGTTGATGGGCAATCAGGTTGTTTCCATCTCTTTGCTATAGTGAACAGTGGTGCGACGAACGTGGGTGTGCACATATCCATTTGTGTCCTGGCTCTCATTTAAGATATATACCTACTAATGAGATTGCTAGATCAAATGGTATTTCTATTTTGAAATTTTAAAGAGTTGCCATACTGATTTCCACAGTGATTACATCATTTTATAGTCCCACTAGCAGTGTCAATCTCTCCACATCCTCACCAGCATTTGTTATATTCTATCCTGTTGAACTTTGCTATTAGTGCTGTGGCGAGACGCTATCTCATTTTTGTTCCAATTTACATCTGTCTAATAGCTAATGATCATGAACATTTCTTCACGTTTGTTAGCCACCTGAATACCTTCTTCGGTAAAGTGTCTGTTCTTGTATTCTGCCTATTCTTCAGTTGGATTGCTTGTCCTTTTGATGTAGAGGTGCTGGAATTTTCTATGAATTTTAGAGATAAGTCTGTATGTTCTCTTTTATTCTTTTGGAGAAGTCTTTTGACACACATAAGACTTTAATTTTTAGAAGGTTCCAATCATCTAGTTTATCTTCTACTGTTTATGCATT